AAAAGTCATGGATGTGGCGGACGGGATAACGGTCAGGGATCGTCCGGGAGTTGAGTTTACGGTAGTCACCACAGGGGCGCCAGGTGCTGTCTTTCTTAGGCGCGAGGTGAAGAGGTGATGACCAGGAGCTCTGTGATGGACGTGCCGTACCGTTGCTCATCATGACCTGAAAATGTTCTTTGGCGATCTTCAGCTTTTCAGGAGCTAGCCTACGGGGAGTACACGATGTAGGAGGTCCTGGAGTGGTCCTGATGTGGTGTACTGTGTTGTGTTTCGGTGTAAAGTGTGTGCCAGAAGGGCGAGTGATTTCTGGAAATTTTTGTAAAATTTTGTGAAAACAAGTGTCGCCTGTTACAACCTTTATAGATGAAACATTAAAATTAGCATGAGATGCGATACATGACAAAGTAGTAGTATTGTCAATAAGGCGGTGATTTTTACAGTCAACAATTAAATTATAATGGCTAAGAAAGTCTACACCAATAATCGGTTTGGTTACATCAGCTACTGTAAAACGCCAGGTATAATTACGCCTTAAATCTAGATCTAGGCACAAATCAATAAAACCGTATGTTTCGATAACACTATCGTTAGCCGCACTTAGCACAAAGTTTGTTTTGTTTCGACGTTCACGAAGCGCTGCACGTGGGTACACGCAGACGTCGCTTCCGGTGTCCACCAGGAAGCGGGTGTTGCTGTGGCGGTCGGTCACAAAAAGGCGACCGGTAGGGGGGCAACTGTCAGTTGCCATCGTCGTGATGTTGGCGGGCTTGTAGGTGCACGGCTGGGCGCACTTCACGGCCTTGTCCTGGTATTTGGCGTGGTACCAGCAGATTGCTGGCTCAGCTGGTGCTGGAGCAGGTTGTGATTGGCGCTTCTGTATTTTAGCGCGATGCTGCTGACGTCGGTGCTGTGATGTTTCGTGTCCCCGGCTATATTGTCGATGTCGGCAGGTGGAGTCGGGGGCAGAGCATTGTATGTCGATTTGTTTCGACAATAACGCAATCATTTGCCTTAATTCGGCGATTTCGTTGTCATGCGCCGATGGTATACGCGCGTCTTGCGCGTCCTCCATTTTGTAAGAAATGCAATAACGACTTACGTGTTCACTGTCGGGGTCACCAATTTAGCGTAACCCACTGAGTAGTTTATTT